CCCCAAAACCCCAAAACCCCAAAACCCCAAAACCCCTTGTGCTAAAAATCTAACTGAAAATTAATGTTTTAGATTACGAATTGGTTCTCCTTTTCTTCATCTCATTTTGAAGCAGAGAAAGGTGACATACACTTGCTGATTATATGATTATCATTTTTAATCCATTTTTTATCTTGGCAAATAGAATCTTCTGAATCTGGAGCCTGAGATAGCTCTATTTGCTTTCCTAGGATTGCTCTATATGCATTAATCATACTTTCTTGAGTCTTTGTCTTTGTAATGATTTCAGAAACGGGATAAAAAGTACTTAAATTTTCAATATCCGACTCAACCTCCGACAGTAGTTTTGGTGAGGACATATCTCAAGGAAGTTCTCATCCGATAAAGTCAGTACTTGGGACATCAATATATGTTTCAAAGTCAGGCTCTCAGTCATAATCAGAGTCACTAGATTCGTCTATTGTGCATCCGAATTTTTCCTTGTTGACAAAAGAAGGATCGACTGACTCCGAATTATCTTTTAGGTTATTAAGGATTGAAATCTCCTGATTGTCATCTAAATCTTCCTTCGAAAGGTTCTTTCAAGAAGAATTCTTTGGTGCAGTAGCTTGATCTTCACCAGAGATATCTACCTCATTCAACTTTTCATTTTCAATTCTTTCAGTTAGCGGCTCGAAATTCTAGAAGATTAGACAGGTAAAATACCTTATTGGTCCGTGTGGATGTAATAGTAGTAGATTCTGTCTTAAACACAGGCTTTGACTCATAGTCATAGTAATCGATAACTTTAGGTTTCTCAGACTTCTGTTCAAGTTTGACCTCAATTTCCTCTATTTTGTTCTCTGGATATGGGTTTTCTTCTTTCAAAGACTGTTCTTTTGACTCGTATATTTCAAGGGCTGCTTCTTGATCTTTAATTACGTCTTCAACTCTATATTTGAGTATTTTAAAGTAAAAAATAATGATATTTCTGATATTGTGGATTAATTGAAGCTTGCTTTGCTAGGCCTAAGACCAAGAAGTTGTTACAAGAAACAATGCCTTAATCTTGAAAATTTAATACGCTTTATCCTCATTAAACTACCTTATCTAAACTCCCCAATCGCAATATAAATACTTACCCAAAACCAGTCCTAAACCCCCTCCAAGTCTGCTCTCTTTTCCATTCTATAGAATTTCCTTCTTCTAAGCTGGAATAAGAATTTCCGCCTGGGATTACAAACGAAGATTTCTCTGTATAAGTGAGGTCTAGATTGTACTTCCGTTCAGACCTGATACAGCTATTATCGTTAATTTCAGAAGTGTCTGGTCTGAAGTAACTCTCCGTTCTAGAGTTTTGGGGCTGGTCGGTAGAAGAGATGTACTTTTTGAAAGCAGGGGGGTAGTCACGCCGAGGAGCGTAGATCTGTTCAAGTTTATTTAGGAGCCTTTTCTTGGGATTTGTATTTGGAGAGGTAGTGCATCTTTGATCTCGTGCCACCAGTGCTGGTGGCGAGAAGTCTGGAATCGAGTTGGGGGATCTGGACTTTTGATTTTGAGAGTTCCTGGAGTTTTTGATATGAAACAGAGGAAGAGCAGTCTTCGACATTGAATTGGATAGGCGTTGTTCCTTTTATAGGTACCTCGCTAATGCTTAGCTCTTTTGTAGACTCATATTCTGGATTTTTATTCAGCAAGTCAGTAAATGGAATAAGTTGGGTAGAGAGTTTTTTGTCAATAATCTCACTCCTATCCGAATTATTCTCAGAATTCAATTTCTCAATATATCTAGTATTATGCTTTCTCTCAGTGACTCAATTAAGGAGCTTTGTAGGTTGATATTCTGTAAGATTCTCTTTTTCCTCTAAAGAAATGTGGGAAATATTTAAGCTTTTTGCATCCATTTTTAATTTTACAACAGCTTTAACTGATTCTGGGGTTTTGGGGTTTTGGGGTTTTGGGG